ACAACAATAAGTTTTTTTTAAAGCCTAGCACTTGGGGGAAAATATTTTTTGTTATAACAAAAGTAAATTTTTACTTTATTTTATTAATTATTTGTCATAGAAAATACTCCGGAAGTACAAAGAGGAGCTTGGCGCACCATTTACGGTGTTGCTGGTGATCAAGAGGTTAAATTCTTCGAGTCTTGGGAGCCACCTCTTGTCAAAATTAATAGAAAACTTACTCCTTACACACCTCACCTTATGGGGACGCCAATGTGCACTGGGCTGCCCTTTTTTATGGAATTTACTGTGTGTCCCACTTGTTTCTCCTACTTTTCCATTTTTTGTTCGTCCCATGATGTTTGTCCATTATCACATGTGGTCACTTGCGCGGTTCAAAACCATCAACAGGATATACAACATTGATTTCCATCGACTAAAGTTTGTGTGGTGAGCTTGGCTCATTATGCTCTATTGCTCTCATTGTATTGGCTCTTTTCAAAAAGGGTTTAAATATCACCTGCTTGTGTGCAGGGTTTGGTGACTACGAAATTTTTGATGCGGTGAGAGATATCAAAGACGAAAACGGCAACCATACATTGTCATAAAACAGTAGAATGGCGAAGATTAAAGCTCAGTCGAACTGCTTTGAAGAAGGCCCTGTCTGATTAGATAACAGTATGTCATTTCCGCCATTGCTTATGGCAGAAAATGTAATGAAATATATCATGAGGTCGGTTACCCTTTGGGTTTTGAAAGAGAGTATATGACATACTGCATCACTTCATTTCATTTACTAGTTTGCTGTCATCCTTCGTCCAAGTGCCAATAGATCATATTCTTTTTTATAGAATGGATTGTTGCACCAGGGGAAGGGGTAGGACTGAGCTCACTGTGGTTCACATTAACCATAGTTTAAAAAATCAAATTAACAGTAAAAGAATTTTATGTGAAAGATAACTTAATTTAATCGAAAGAGACAGTTTTTTTTAATATAGATGTGGTGATTTTTCATTATGAAAAGAAAAAACTAATAAGAATCCGAATGTACATAGGCCAAAAGGACAATAGGAAGTGAGTAAAGAATCAAGAAGTGAACTTTCTATAATACGAAGTACTGTATAAACTAAAGAAAAGGGTCAAAAGACTCAAAACGTTGTCCAGAAGACCAAAAGTCCAAAACTACAATGAGTTGTTTAGGAGATTCTTTTGTCATAACGTTACTTTGTTACCTTAGATTAGTTTTTTTCAATTGTTTTGCATGGACTTCACATTTTTTAGACTCAAAGTTCTTGGACCTTGTTCTAAATACTCTAATCAACGTGTTAAAACAGTCCTGACTAGTGCCTATGATAAACTGAATTGTACATGACTGAACCCAAAATTCAATGCGCGAAATCAAAAACTGTATAGTTGATTAAAAAAATGAGTGATAAGACTGGTAAACCCAAAAACAAAGTCAACAAATGAGCTCTCTGAAAAATATAATTATACAACATTATTTATTTGTTGTATGCATGTGTGTTATGGGTATTTATTTTATTACAATAATTTGAAGCTCAATGGTTTTCAAACATACCCTTTTAAGAATAAAAGTCAATTAATGTCTAACAACATTGTTTGATATGTACAAAGTTTAGTACTTTTTGTGTCAAGCACTACAAAAAAGAGGACTATCATTGTAATTTTATAAATTGAACATCCCGAATCCTTTATAAATGAGCATTCTATTTTTTTATTTGAAAAAATCAAGAAATAAATTTATTTGCATACTAATAAACGCTGTTTAATTTAATGTTCTTCAAAATCTAAATGCGCTACATTGCCTACATACTAACACAGATACATGTTTGACATTCTCCTCACTTTTTTGTGAGTTGAATTTAAAAATTACCATAATTTTCCCACCCAGAGGCCTACTATGAGGGGAGAAACTTAATTTGTGCCAGAACCGCCCTTCAAAATGCACAATATAGTACACCTAAATCAGCTTCAGGATCAAAAAGTGAGGTTTTCCATCTATGCATTATCTGCTCCCCATGTCCACCTAAATCAGCTTCAAGATCAATAGCTCACTCTCTAATCTCTATTATATATAGATGAGCAAGTGCTTATATTCTCATAATATGACGACGATGGATATGGTGAAAGAAATTTGTCAAACTCAATACCGCCCTTGTTGCTAGGGCGGTATTCATCCGCTGACACCAAAGTATCTGGGGGCATTGTGTCGCCTTCTAAGTATTTTGCCACCCGCCTCATAGTAGGCCTCTGGGTTGGAGAATTATGGGAACACATTAGCCCTAGTTTAATCACAAGCACAACTTCATCCACATTGTAATCCCCACCACCTCTCATCCTTGGATCAACCACTTCAAGAATCTTGCCTTCCTTCCACTTCTCCCAAACCCAATCCACCAAAATCATCTCCTCAGGTAGCGCTTTCCGCTCTATAGGCCTCCTCCCACACACGATTTCAAGAAGTAACGCGCCAAACGCGAAAACATCCGAGCATGTACTAGGTTTTCCAGTTTTTGTTAGCTCGGGAGCTAAATAACCCAATGTGCCCACAACCCGAGTGGTCCCCGAATTCTCGCCACGCTCTATTAACTTTGCCAGCCCGAAATCCCCGAGCCGCCCATTCATATCTGAGTCCAACAACACATTCCCAGCTTTGATGTCTCTATGAATAACTGTCTTCTCCCACTCCTCGTGCAAATATAAAAGCCCTGAAGCTACACCCTTTATGATCTTAAACCTCTCCTCCCAACTTAATATTGCCTTTGGTTCTCCGAAAAGGTACTTGTCTAAGCTCCCATTAGGCATGAAGTCATAAACAAGTAAAAGATCACCCCGTCTTCGACACCACCCAAGCAATTGAACTAGATTCCTATGCCTAAGTCGGCCAATGCTTGCAATTTCAGACACAAATTCCCTCAGACCTTGTTTGGCATCATGGTTTATCAGCTTAACCGCTACTTGGTCTCCGGAATTAGGCAAAATTCCCTTATAGACCTTACCGAACCCGCCAAATCCGAGCAGGTCTTTGTCTCTGAACCCTCTTGTTGCTATCTTGAGCTCTTGGTAATCAAACCTATGAGGACCAACTTCAAGTTCCCAAGGCTCAACCACATCCAAGTCCTTGTTTCGACAAACTAAGCATGTAACAATCAGGGAGGCAGTTGAAATAAAAGCTAGTGATGATAAAGAAACGCTTAAGATCATGGCCATATAATGACTCTTTTTGGGATGAGGGGGCAAAGAAGGAAGTGAAGATAGATCTAAAGATTGTGATTTTCCATTAATCTTGAAACTCCATCCATAGATATAGTGAGAGCTGGCAAGTAAACCAGTTGAAGCAGAGAAGCCAACAAACATATTCTCCTCAAAAATCGGAGAGAGGTCAAGCGGGAATGAGAGGATTGAAAAATTGGGTTTTTCTGAAGAAAGTGAGAGTGCCACATTCAATTCATTCTTGGATGAATCATAGTCAATCCAAGCTTGAATTTTCTTTCCACTCTGGAGACTAACCGTAGCATTTGCAGAGGCATTAGAGACCAAACTGTTGATATCAACACCGACATGGTTTTCACTAATATCTCCAAACTCTAAATCTTGAACCGTGTCAAACTCAACAGCAAACAAATGGTTTGAGAATTTCCCGAGATTGGTTGAGTTCATAAGACCCAGGAACTGGCTTGGGAGAACCCCTTCCATACCTTGGGTTCTTGAGATCACAAAAGCTAACCCATGGCCGCCAAAATTTGCAATCTCGGGAACAATCCCAAAAGCAAAAGCAGTGGAAAAGGTGAAAGCTTTCCCAGAAATAGAATTCTTAAAATTTATCGGCTTTGAATAGAAAGCATGACCGAATATCTTAGACTTGTCTCCAGTGAGCTTGAGGACGCCATTTCTCTTAATCTCAGCAACCCCGTCTAGAATAATGGTGTCACCTGTAAACCCACTGTAAACAAAGTCGTCACCAGTAGAAAAAATGATTCTTGAAACCCAGGCGAGAAGGAAGAAGAAGATTGACCATATTTTTGCCATGGAAGGGGTCATGGCCTGATGTTGTGTGGAAATGGATTGATGGGTTTTGCCATTTTATCAGAGATTGTGATTATGCGGTGCTTGGTGGGGATCCAGTTGGGTGGATAGAGACAGGGTGATGGATGTCACTTGGAAGTGGGAACTTTTTTAAGAACAAAGGGTATATGAAAGTGGAAGTTTGGCGAGTCATTTGGACATCTGAGGTAGGATATTGGAATCGGAGTCAAAGTAAACTAAAAAATGAACCTAGACGAGAGGCAGCAGCCAATTTGTATTTGTGTTACAATTTGGGTACGATGTATACCTGTCATCTATTCATTTGAAGTCAGAAAGTGAGTTTTTTTCAAATTAATGTTAATTAATTAATTAATTAATTATAAAAATAATGTTGAGTTAAAAGTATTTACCAATCTACTGCCGGATTTAACCATGGTCAGGGAAAGTCACCCAATGGTTGGGGGACTTATAAGTCACCAAACCGGATGGCGACTTATAAGTCGCCCAACCGTTGGGCGACTTTCCCCTTGCATTTGAACGAACACCAGCAGCTACCGCCAGCAACACACGATCGTGCGTCCCAGAGTAGGCACGATCGTGCGTCCCAGAGTAGGCACGATCGTGCGTACTTCCGAAACGTGAATTTCAGCACCTTTTTAGTCCAAGTTAGCCAAAACTCATCTGTTTGCTATAAATAAGACATCCCTTCTCCTGTTTAAGTGTTACGAACATTACGGAGTCTTGGCTATATTATAATGACAGTAATACCAAGATTAATGCCTTACTCCGTATTTCGTAGTTTCAGTCCGATTTCACTTGTTTTCTATAAATAAGGTCTCTCTTCTCCTATTTAGGGGTTACGAACCAGATACAAGACACAAAACATACAACACACCTGCTCACAAATATATACATAACACTTGCTCTTGACAACATACAAAACATCGCATAAATACCCTTTACAAATCCGATACAAAACAATAGATTCATAACCGGTAAAACACAGTACAATCATCCAATATTCATAACACAGTAGTCATCTAATATTCATAATTGAACACATCAACACATCATAAAAGAGTTTACAGGTGGAAATACGTAAAATAAAGTCAATTGTTCCTACAACATCTAATGTACAAGAACAACTCCAATACAAAAGACAAACTACAAGTTCTCATGGTCTTCTTGATCGTCTTGGTCATGGAGATGTTGTTGTTGCTGCCTAAGCCTACGCCGCTGTTGTGGTTGAAGAACCACTCTCTCATGCTGAGTCTGGGATGATGAAGCTGTCGTTGCACTAGATGTCGATGGCATATCCTGAGATGGGGGCATATGTATAAGATGGCCATAGTCGACTCGCCCCAACACGTCTGAACACAAGGAGGCAATGCCTGTGAGAGCCTGTCCGTACATGTCCATGTCATGCACATCACTGACTGTGGCAGTAGCCCTCTGATGTATACGCTGCAAAGCTCGTGTCTGAAATATAAAACACAATTATAATTAGTTAGAAAAAAATACAAGTGTTAAATAAAGAAAATGACTTGCGTTAGTAATTAGTAATATACTCACTGTCAAATGCAAAGCCAAGGAGCTAGGCTGATAATGGTGAGTAGGAAGTCTGAACGAATGAGACACAAACAAGCGAGTGATGCTGTAATATCATCCCATGTAGTCGGCTGAAACAGACGGGACAAATGTCGGTGTCTCAGTCACAACTAGCTCAGCTCGCCTGTCCCACATAGTGACGTATCGGACATGTCTTAGTGCCCAATCCTATGTATGCTTCCCACGCCTATCCAGCCTATGAAGCTCTGCATATGTGTCGATGGGTGTTGGAATGACCTGCTCAAACCCAAACTGTCGCAATACACAATCAGGCAAATGTAGCTCAACAATGTCAAAGCATATCAACGGCACACGTGCTCGTCATATGTGAGTATGCTCTCGTCCAGCGGGGGGCAACTCTGCACACATCTCAGATGTATACGGCATCCAGATAATCTGTTTCATAAAGATACACAATTACTATTTATGCTATACATATTATAGTTAATGTTATATTACGCACACCATACCTGATCCTCAGACATCCGATCAAATGCATCCCTGTACACACCAAGTCCATAAGCCGATGACGTGCGATATAGATCAGCAAATAGCCATCTAACCATTCATGTAGCATATATTAAAATGAATGTTATTAATATATTTATATTCAACATACAATAACATAAATACAAACGATTTAAGACATACCGACGGCCCAGAGGGTACTCGCCCCGTACATGATGTGGTCCCAGGAGAAGTGGAGGCTCATTAGGCAGTGGGTGTCCATCAATGCCATGGTATGCCACTAGAATGGGACGCCCAATGTGGATGTACTCCCATGACCAAATCTGGAGAAGTAGCAAAAATCCCCCAAGCTCTGTGCTCCCACTCTGACAGCCGCGACACAGCTGTCTGTACAGATAAGCCAGTGTGGCACTACCCAAGTGAAGTGTGGTGTTACATCAAACCACTCTAGCATAAGCAAGTGCAGAACCTGAATCTCATTTCCGCTCTTGTCAGCGAAAATGGAATCTCCCATCAGCCTCAAAATATATGCCCGTGCATGCTGCTGGATAATCACCTCATCAGCGTCCGGATGAAGCACAGCGAAATGCTCCCTCAGCCATGACATCCTCAGAGATGACCCCTGAAGGTCAGTCCGAAGAACGGGGCGAACACCCAACAAATGCTCACACTCATCAACCCATTGTCGACAAGCAGTACCAATAACAGCTCTCCCCTCGACCTCTAACCCAGTCAGTAGAGCAACATCTCCCAAGGTCACGGTCACCTCACCAATAGGGAGGTGAAATGTGTGTGTCTCCTGCCCCCAACGCTCAAGAAGAGTGATAAGTCCGTATTTTGACACGCATTTGATGCGTGTTGAGAACGGATTTTGATTATTTTCCTAGCTTTAAGGTGTTACAAGCCTCAATTTTAGCTCAAGTTATGTTTACCGGGCATTGGTTCGAGTTTTGTGTTGTTTGTAATCAAAATCAGGGAATTTGAGCCCGACACCGGCGCTTGAGGAACAATCGGGATGATTTGAGAAGCATTTGAGATTGATTTGATATCTTTGGAGGTCACCGGGAGGTTTACGATGAAGATTTGATGAGAAAAGAGTTCTACGATTGGTTATGGGATCAAAAGAAGACGAATAGAGCTCGAAAACGACGATCAGGATGACCTTCTGTCAATCGTTAAAGCATATCTCTTTGTAAAAGCATCCAAAGGACACGATTAAAGTTGCATATGAAAGACAACTTCAATAGCTACAAATCAGAAGAAGACACCTTTGCCAGAATCTGAGAGGAAGAAGGTGAAAACAGACGATGAAGTCAGATGATCCCTGTTGCGATTTCAGAATGAGACCTTCCACCATTTTGATCATATATCTTGATTGGATGATTCAAATCCAATTCCGCAAGTTGTGGTGGATAGAGGGCTTCATTATCTACAACTTTAATGAAGGACGCATTGCCAAATTAGGAAGTTAAGTAGGCACGATCGTGCCCTCAAAGTCAGGCATGATCATGCGTGAAGAGAAAGCATCGCGGAGCTACTGCCAGGCAGGCACGATCGTGCCTGGAGGGAGTCACGATCGTGCCTGCCCAAAATGCGCGTTTTTGCTTTGGAGGCACGGTCAAAGGCACGGTCGTGCCTGGCACCGTGCCTACCTCCGAAAATCCCAATCCAACTCAAATTTCACCCGATTTTTCTATTTAAACCGCCTGTAAACCCCCGTTTTCAGCGGAGGGAGCTTAGAGAGAGTGCCTAGCACGAATTTTAGAGGGCTTTTCAGCCTTGTTCATCAATCTTTTGGGATTCTTTGTAAGTTTCACCTTTTTAATTAATCACAATTAATTCTTTTTATTCCAATTCTATTGATTCTTCAATTATGAATTGTGAGTAGTTTTAATTAGGGATTTGGGACTGATGAAGGGTTGATCATGATGTATGGCTAGATTCTTGATGGGTTAATTGCATGAATGTCGTTTAATTTGTGTTTGATTAATTTAATTGATATCTTTTGTAACCTGGAACCGCGGTTAGAATAAAAATTGCTTGTAGAATAAATTAAGAGAGATCTAATTTATTCTAGGACACATTCACACACACTTAATCGTTCGCTAAGAGATTAGTAGCGATTAATGGGCCGTAAGCTTGCTCGTCTTGGCAATAATTTAGGATCTTATCGCATGAGAGATCAGTATGATCCCCTAAATTATTGTACTCTACGCCGCGAGAGCGGTAAGAAATTAGTAGTGATTAGCTACGCTCAATTAAATTAATTTCATGTAATTAGGCCTGATCAGCCAGAAATCTGAGTACTCCGGAATCAATCCATGTTCCCGTCGTCATTAATTAGAAAGAACCCCCTAGTTTAATCGTTTTATTCGCATTTTTATTTTCCAGCAACCAATCTCGCACGACACATTTTTATTTATTTCTTTTTAATCGCTGAATTTAGTTAATCTTTGATTCCCTTTTGTCCGTCCCTGTGGAGACGATACTCGTACTTACGCCACTATATTACAATCTATTTTAAGTGCGAGAAAACTCACATCGGTTTTTGGCGTCGTTGCTGGGGACGGTGTCGGTTTTAAGGGTTAATTAATTTCAGCGAGATGTTTTTTAGTTAGTTTTCTTTTTGTTCTTCGTAGGATTTTTCTGTGCTAACCTTTCAGGTAATTTTTCTAAGAGGCGTGAGATGAACTCATTCAGCCAAATTCCTGGAGGAATTCCTTACCCTCAAACATCCATGGAATATTCACCATATACGTCATACTCTCCTTACATTCCTCTTTCTCCTCCTCCTCCTCCTCCTCAATATTACACACCTCATCAAAATTACTCTCCTACACCACAAAATTATCAGTTCCCTTATTCATACCCTCCAACCACGCAACCTTGTCTGCCTAAGAATAATATTTGTTCCTTTTGTGGAGGATGTCACCATATATCTTTTTGCCCCGTTAAACCTCCATATGACCATCCTTACTGGGCAACTGCATACCCCAATTCAAAGAGCAGTGAATAGCGCTCTATCGAGAGGGATAGTAGCCACCAATCTATGCAGACCATAAAAACCCGCAGCACGAACATATGCAAGTACTCTGTCGTCCACCTGCACATGCGACAAACCACGTAGGTGCTCGCGGCACCTATCCACCTGAACATCGAGGCCACGCCACACATCCTCACTCTTGTGTGTGGTCTGCAATGTCAGGACAGAACGATCACTCGGCCCAGGATCCGCTGACACTTCCATGCCTACAAAAATGAAAAAGGATATTAGTTAAATTTTACTATTTTATTAATTGATTTTTTTATTAAAATTATATTATTTAATTTTTTGTCATGCCATGTTAGTATCAATTGTGGATTATTATAATTAAAACCTTACCCAGTGGACCCCCATTTCATCTCTTGATGATCTCTTCGCACATGTGGCCCTATTATGGCCAGTTTGTTTACATTTTCCACATCTAACCGTTCCTCGGGGACCTTCATCCATCTCATTCTTAATACGTGTGGACTTAGGTCTTCCCTTAGCCTGAAGCATGGATGGATCGTGCACAATATGAGGTCCATGGTAATCCGGCGAATAATCACGGTCAGGAATGGGTTTAAACACCCTTTGATAGAATACAAGCTCACCATATTGATGACTTGTTCTTTGTTGTCAAACTGTTGACCAACCTCAAACTCACCTTCGGGTGTAAACCTTTTCATACCCGCTCCGCTCATCCACGCATCAGTAAAGCCTTCAGGGAGATCATATATTCTAGTAAAGTGGCTAGACGGGGTAGTTGCCCTGACAGTATCACCATCATCTTCATCAGATTCTGTCATGTCATCACCATTGATGTTCTCGTCAGCATCATCATCACTGGCCTGCCCATCCACAAATGATGCACCATTGTGCAAATACATACCATCTTCCTCTATAACCATGTCCAGTACAGCATCATTAGAGGAGTTCCCTGCATTGACACCATGCCTAGATACAACATCATTTGATGTTGTCGAAGCTGTAGAAGAGTCACCAATGGATTCCTCAATGTATATCTCCAGCGAGGACATACTCTCCATGTCAATTATCATCCACATATTTGTGACAGCTAGCTCATCAAGAAGTGGCATAAGCATGTAATTTCCCCCGTTCATTGGAAATTTCATTTTCAAGCACAAAGACCGGCTAGGAGGAATCTGTGTAGCTACATAGATTTTTTGCAGCATTTCGAGCAGACATGCGCCACGAGAAACAATGACAAAGTTGCTTCTACCACCTTCATGGCATATTTGGCCACTTTCCTCATATACGTTCCCTCCCCAATGACACACAATTGGGAAGTTTGAGGAATCCATATTCTAATAACAATACATGTCCAACTGTGATGAGTAAATATTAATATACACACTTTATACACCCAAATTAATCATTTCATAGACATTCCAACATATTAAGCAAATCCTACATGATATATATACACTTAAAAATGGAAAAATATAACACATAAAAAAATACATTCTAATTTTTTAGTATTTTAGCATTAATGGGAAAAAAAACACCTCCAAATCTACATTACATAACAAAAAATGTATATAACAATGAATTCAACATCAACATTCAACAAGTCATACATATTCACATTACACAACAAATCAATTCACAAATGAATGCCTAATTTACAAAATCCAATTTTCTATATTCTAAACCCTAAAATGAAAAATGAGATGAAATGGAGATATTTGTTTACCTAGAGTGTTGAAGAAAATGGAAATGAAGTAGTATTGACAAGATAGGGAGGAATCGTCAGAGTTTACCCGGAGTTGGAACTGTTTTCGCCCGGAGTCGCTCGTCCTCGCTCGTCCTCGCTGCTGCAGATTGTTTGGGAAGGGGGGTTTTGCGTTCTGTCTGTGTGGCTGGCGTTACCCGATGTTTTTACTTAAGGGTAAGTCGCCGAACCGTTGGGCGACTTATAAGTCGCCGAACCGTTGGGCGACTTATAAGTCGCCGAACGGTTGGGCGACTTATAAGTCGCCAAACGGTTCAGCGACTTACCCCGACCAGGGTTAAGCCCAGCAGTATATCCGTAAATATTTTTAATCCAACCCTATTTTCGTAAAAACTTAATTAATTAACGTTAATACGGAAAAAACTCTCAGAAAGTTGGATAATCACTTACTTCCCTTCGTCTCTTTATCTTGAAATGTCCCAACCCCGCCAGTAACTTCGGTTGAGTGGTGAAATTTTGTTGGTTTAGTGGTTTGGAACCAAATGTCGTATTAGAACATGAAGTGTTTCAAATTCAAAGATTGAGAATAACCCTACCTCTGTGGCAAAGTGATTTGTGAATTGAAGTCAACCTTTCGAGTTTTTTCCCAAATAGGGGTAGTTTTGAATCTTATTTACCAAATGAAGGTAGTTTTAAATTTATTTCCCAAAGTAGGGTAATTTTTGCCATGTCATCTAATTTTGCCCCGTCATCTATTCCACATCATCCACCAACCATTCCATGTCATCAATCACTTTATATGGTCTCGTTTGGATGTATTATTAAAAAAAAAACTAAGAATGGAACCCACGACTTGCTGATGTACTACACACTTAGAAACCACTGGACTACGTTAAATACTTGATGTAAATTCTCTTTTACGAATTATTACCACCTACTTAATAGCATATATCACCCTACGTTTTTGTTATAGTTTTTAATTTACTTTTAATTTTTTAATTTCATATCTGAAATTAAGTATCTATTATATTCTCTTTTAATGCAGTTTTATCATATTTATTTGAAATTAATATTCTTTTTTAACATAGTTTATAATTGATAGATAAAATAAATAAATTCCATTTTAGATCCTAATCCATCACAGGCTTAAAAAACTTATGTTATGAATATAAAAATAATGTATTTTAGTGTTGGGATATTATAAAAATAATATAGTGTAAACAAATCTTATATTTTATATTTTTTATAATAATAATGTAAGATTTTTTACTAAATTTGTGGTGAGTTAGAGCCTGATATTTATTTGTTTCTTATTTTATATAGTGTAGAGTTATTTTAAATTATTTTTAATTGAATATATCAAATGGCGTTGTATTATAATTTTGCATGTATCAAATTAAGTATTACTCATATATCATACGAAGTATTCTCTAATTGTTTATGGAAATTATGGAAGGAGTAATGTATAATCCGTTTATGTTAAGTATACGTAGAGAAGAAAATATATCAACAATTAAATTCAGTCCAGTGGCTTGGTAGTGAAGAATTCCTAATGAAGGTCGTGGGTTCGAATTATTGATACTCCATATTTTTTTTTTTATATTTTAATAGCAACGGGATCGTAGTGAATATGATGCTTGATGACATGAAATGGCTAGAAGATGATTTGGAATAAGTGACGTGGCGAAATGAGATGACATGGCAAAAACTACCTTACTTTGGGAAATAAGTTTAAAACTACTTTTATTTGGTAAATAAGTTTAGAGACTACCTCCCTTTGAGAAAAAACACCAACCTTTCTTATCAAACAGCTTCATTTTATTCACTTAATTAGGATATCAATTTTTAATTATATTCTGGTTTGAATTTTACAACTTTGAAAATATTTTAATGTAGTTTCTCATCCATTCATTCATCATCATTACCACAGTGCCACAAAGGCTCCCCACCTATGGTGGAGTAAAGCGGGTCGGATGTACGCAACCTTACTCCTGTACTAAAGCATAAGGAGACGGTTTCCGGATGACCCGTGGTAAAAATCGCGTCGAAAATTGCATTGACTGACTGATGGTTCATAATAAAGAAGCGCAGACAATTTAGAGAGTCGTTTTGTTTTATTCCATCATATTTCCAAGCCAAAATAGGTAAACTTTGGCTCCATTGCGTCTAAGCCCTGTCAACTTAAAACGGCCTTATCTAATACTCCCCCAGTCCCATTTTCTAAGATATCTTTCATATTCACTTGGTCAATACAAATCATTCTTGATCTCTTACTTTATATATCAAAATTTTATGAAATTTGAATTATTTTGTACAGGTTTTGTAGCGATTTCAATGTAGTTTCTGAAATTTTTATATGGGCAGTTCATCATGTTCTTCATCAAGTCTAGTTTATGCATATCAAATTTTAGCTAAAAATTCAATCAGAAAGGCAGTCAAATATGAAATTGAAAAACATTGTGTTGTTTATACATATACCAAGCACAATGTTTGTAAATAGTTTATGTAACTGCCTTTTCGATTGAATCTTAAGCTGAAATTAGGTGGGCTTAAACTGGACTTGATGAAGTACATGCTCAAAAAATTCCACCGAGAAGGATCCCAAATGACCTTGTTCAGACGGTGAGTCCTGTCAGACCGACGTGATAGGATCGCTACTCATTTAATGTTATATATAATCTTCACCTTAGGCCGTCTTGGTAGGAATTATCATCCGGCCACCTCTATTTGAGATGCTTTCAATGGATTTTTTATGAAATTTGTAAGTATGTTCTTCATTAAATGTAGATATGTTCACGTAATGTGTACATTTAGAGTTATAACTATAAATTGTGTAATTTTAGCAGCCTTGATGGATTTTTTTGAAATTTTTTAACTGCCAATTTTAAAATGTGTAATTAAAATTAAAATTAGATTATATTTATACTTATAACTATAATAACAATTAGAGTTATAATTATAACTATAATAATAATAAGTATAATCATAATTACAAGTTTATCAATTGTAATAATTAAAATCATAATTATAATTATAACTATAATTACATTAATGAAAATACAATCTCATAGAGTATATAAAAAGTGATTAATTGTAAAAAAAAAAATGATTGTATTTGAATTTTGAAAAGAAAAAGTTAGTGCTTAGTGAAATGTGGTTTTTTGTGTGGTAGAAATTGAAAAACAGTTGAACAAACATATTCCGTTGTTTTTAGATTTTAACTTTAAATAGCTTAGCTACAAGTATTTAAGTAAAAGCACTCATTTGAAAACACATACTCCATACTTATCAACTTTTAAAGCAAAAATATTGGAAAATGCTTTTCTTTTTTTTAAACATTGCAAACACTACCTAAAGTCCTAAATGTTTAGGGTTGAACCAGTTTCCATATCATTATGAAAAGGGTACCCGAATCGATCTTTTGCTTTAGGATAGGGAAATTGTATTAGTGTAGCATCCATGGATTCCTTCAGAGTTGAGATGCCCACAAATTCCGACCACTGCCAATGTAAAGCTACTTTCAAGAATTTCGCAGTGGAAGACAGATTATTAGAAAAGGCACAAAGAGCCCATTTGATTCTATTTTTAGACTTATCAAATTTATCAGTTAATTTTTTCATTAAATACATAACTTTTTGATTTCGCGCGCTGAATTATATAATATTAAGAAAAAGTGAGATTAAAGTTACTTTACTTGTATTGACTGAAGTTATTGTAGAGAATCTTTTAAGCTGTTTTTTCATATAATTTTTTCTTTTTTTTATTAATAAAATATATTTTGAATATAATTTTTTCATCAATTAGCAAAATCAGCCAATACCAACACTCCAAACAGAACATCATAAATTTCAGCAGAATTAGCCAATACAGCCGATTTGGGTATTACCAAATCGGGTTGAAATTGTTTTTCATTTTATAAAGAACTTCTAAAATTAACCCATTATACCTTCTGAAAAACAATAAATAAAGCCGCTTATTTCCAAACTTTGGAGTTGTTTTTTTTAGTGAAAAAGACCTAATCTAATCCTTTGTTAATCTGGATAGATGTTTTCAACATGATTGCGAGTCTGTGACATACTACTCTTTCAGAGTTTGTAGTGAAGGACTAAAATACATGTTCTGAGTTCTGACTAGGACTTCTAGAATATAACAAAGAAAGAAGAAACTCTTATCTCAATTTATTGGATAAGGAAAAGGAGGGTAACTTTGAAGCCATATAAGTGTACATAATGCAACAAAACAAAGCAAACTAAAATGCCTAATAGAAATCGTAAAACATGTCAGGTTTTAGTGCCGCCTCATTTCAAAACAGCACAAAGTTTAAAAATTACAGATCAGAGTGAAGAAAATGAAAATAAACTTAACTTCAAAATTTGTGTGAAAACACATTGAGAACTTAAGGCTACAGCGTCTTCATCACCTTGTCAGTTGTCACTTTGAACTGTGTTCTTACTCAAGCTCTTTTATTCGGGTTTTGATTAGCTTTTCGGAAAAGATAAAACTATGACTCTACTTAGTCCACAAAAGATCTGCACATTTGAACCAGGCAGCAGCAATTTAGTAGTGATGGTGAGAAGTTGAAAAAATAATTCATTCATACAAATTTGGATACTGTCTCACAAAGATGCCCATCTTTGTGTTCGAATTTTGTACGCCCCACAAAGATAGTAGTCTATATCAGTTGCGCATTTAGTTTTCCGTTTCCGTGTTTACCCCTTATTTAAGTTTTCATTTCAAAATTTCCAAGGATGAGTATTTCATTAACTAACTTTTTAAATGTGAGAATTTGATATGAAATTAATTATTTCAACTAATTCACAATTATTACTGACAAGTGCCAAGTACCTTGTGGTCTGATGGCATCAGTGATTATCTCCATCGGTGCTTAATCAAGGATGTTGGCATTATCGTGAGAAGATACTATAATCGGTTTAGAAGGATAATCCAAAAAATAATCATTACTATTTAATCCCCATACAAAACCCCATTACAAGTCTTATCTTTATGGAGGGAGAAGTAAAAAAGTTCATAAGAGATTCAAACACACACATTGAAGAAATTTATCTGATAATTTCCTTACACCCTCCTGTCTTCACGTTTTAGAAAAGTGCATACACAAATACACAATGACATTGCAAATCCCTATAAAAGCTCAACATCAAATGTTTCTCTTTTCTTCTCAAGAAAAAATAGAATTTAATATGGGAAAGTCAATAAGGTTGAATTTGAGTGATTGATATTCAAAATATGTATTTACTTCCTAAAAGGACAATTATTTAGCTACGAATATTAATTGCTAGAACAACAGATATTTGGGAACCGAGTATCCAATTGGTGATATTTATTTTAACTGAACTTTTCTCATGATTTCTCAAAGGAAAGTTAAGGTAAAACATACCTGGGTGTGTCAGGCTCAACTCATGAGCACCATTCTCTTGCATTTTGGAACATACGCAACCAAGGACTTGGTCCCTTCTTATCCACGTCCCAATGCTTTGGATACCAAGGGAACTGCCACATCAAGAAGCATCGTTCTGGGTGGGGCATCATAGCAAGGTGCCTCCCGTCTGGCGAACAAATAGCAGCCACACCAAGTGGCGAACCATTCATATTGAAGGGATAAATTTCGGTCGGAACGCCATCATCATCACAATACCTCACCGGAGCCAAGTTTGACCCAAGAATCTGCTCGAAAACACTATTGTCAGGGAAATAAGCCCTTCCTTCACCATGTGCTGCCCACACACCCAGTGTGCTACCCTCCATCCCTTTGAACATTATGGCAGGTGATTCTTGTATAGTGACACTTGTGAATCGGCACTCAAACCGCCCCGATTCATTGTGTATGAACCTTGGCTGTGACGGGTCACCTCCTTTACCGAGAACACCTCCGACTTCAGGCCCAGGTACCCAACCTAATAATGAAATATGGGGTTTGAGATTGGATGCATTATTGCAAAAATAAAGTGATTGTTTGATGAAAAAGTCACAGTTGTTTGGAAAGTGAAACACCCAAATAGGGTGGTTTTAACTTTTAAGAATGAAAGATACTTCTGCAGTGGTTCATAAAGAAAAAGTTACTTTCAGAGAGCAACTCAGATAAGCTATGCCAAACTGACTGTAAGAGCCACTCCTTAGGCTCTTGTTTTTGCTTATCATTCTTATACAACATCCCAGCCTTATCATTCTTATGCGTCAGTTTTTTCACC